TCTTTTTCTTCGCGATGACTCGGTGAAACTTTGGCATTGGCGTTGGCTTACGCGCGCTGCGGTATTTACACGAGCTATCTTCTACGGGCGGCCGGGACGCATCCCTTACCGGTCGCCTGCCTGAAAATCCCTCTGAGGTTCTTCCTCTGGTTCCCCCTCCACCGTCTCTGTCCCTTCGGTCAACTGCCTCTTCAGCCCTTCCATCAACGTCCTCAGGTCTTCCGGGTGGAGACGTCGTACTCGGCTGACCCTGGGGTGTGGGCATTCTCGCGCGAGATGACCCGGGGTGTTACAGTTGTAGCACCGTCTCTGGTCAGTCCTCGACCTGTCGAGATCCATCGGCTGGGGGCCCGTCCCTGGTGTAGGACGGGCTGCTGGGGTGGGGGGCGGAGGTGCTAGAGCGGGTCGTGGGGGGTTCTGCGCGGGTCGGGTCTGGGATGGGGTCACGGTCAGCGGAGGTCGGGCTGGCGGGAATGGGGGTCTAGGTGGGGGTGCGCGTGGTTGGGTGGCTTGGAAACGTTGCCACTGGTTGTCCAGAAGCGTGGCTTCGCGCTTCCACTCAGTCCAAGTGGTGGGCATGGGGCGGAGGCGGTATATACTCTCCCTGAGCCGCGAGTTAATCGCTTGCTCAAACCGGTCGACCAGCCCGACATTGCCTAGCCTCGAGGCGGGTCCCAATATCTCGAACTCCTGGATGACCTTATCCACGGAGTCAGTCCCTTGGCGGATGGCTGCCAACTTCTGCCGAGCTGTGGCCTCCCGGTTCGGGTCTTGAAACATGGCATCGAGTTCCGTGTTGAACTCGTCCATGGTTATGGTGGGGGAGGTGGCTGTCAACAGGGTGATCGTCCGTTGTGTCGCCCACGCCCCTGCGGGTCCTCCCTTCATGTAGGAGAGGACGAAGAGGATCTGGGATAGTTCGGTAGGGAACTCGGCTGCGCGGACATGGAAGTAGATCCCGCACTCGGCTTTGAAGCGATCGAGGTCTTCACTGGCTCCTGAGAAGGGAGTGGGGGCAGCGACCTTCGGTGGTTTGGGTCTGGGCGCGAGTGTGGGTACGGGCGCGGGTGCAGGGGCGGGTGCGGGTGCAGGTGCGGGTGGGGGGTGGTTGCGGGTTTGGCTCTCCACAATGGCTTGGAGCTCCTGGAAGCGGGCCAGCAGGTCGTCATACTGTTCTTCTGACACCATGGCTGGGGAGATGGGTGAGGCGGGGGAAATAAGGTTAAAACCTTCTTCTGCTGTCAGGGACGCGTCCGGGGTCGAGAGGGCCCGGGGGTAATGCCTGGCACTGAGGCCGTCGCGGGGTGTGGAGCGGGCATGCGTACTGGCGGGCCCGATCCGGGACAGTGGTCCCTGGCCACTCGGACTGAAGTGGAGAATGTGTTATTATTATTAAAGAGGAAAACTATACTACTTACCTGAAGTGGAGAATGTGAGAAGAAGGTTACTTCTTCGGTTCCCACTTCAGGTACATTTATGTACATGCGGCTTGAGTCACATGACAGGTGCCACGTCATCCTCGGAGGCAGCCGCAGGCATCCGGGTGTCCCCGTGGGGGATCCCGAGAGCGTCCGCTACATGCGCGCATGCTGGGCACAGCGGGAAGCCGTCCGGGGTGTGTGGGCCGGACGGGTCAATAGTACATCGATACAAGGGAAGGTGGTCCGTGTAGATAGAAAGAAATAAACAGGAAGAGGAGGATGAGAAGAATGAAATAAAGAAAGGGGAAAGAAAAGGGAAAAGAGGGGGGAGGAGAGGGAGGAAGGAGGGGGGAGGGGGATAGACAGCGGGGAGCGGGTGTGGTGTGGCCGGGTGGGCCCGGGTCAGGCGGGTGTGCCCTGACATCCACCAGCTTGAGGTTAGATGGGACTTTGTTGGATTGGGGGGGGCCAGGCCATACAAGCCGGAATTCATAGGCATCCCTATCCTCAGCACCAGGCAATGGTCCAGGTGTGTCTTCCCATCTGGGCCAGTCGAGGAACCATGGGACTTCAGTCCCTGGGGCCAATGGGAGCCAATAACCGTGAGCTGCCTCGACATGTTCGTTCAGATCCAATTCTTCAAACAATCCATTCTTAATTACGCAACACAGCAGCTGACAAGCAAGGTATACAGCAACCTCAGGTGAACTCACCATTGATCAATCATCAGTTGAGTTTTCTTCGAGGAAGATTCCTTTCGGATGTTCAAACCAGGATATCTTACATCCTTCTTGGACCTCTCCTTCCATCAGGTGTTCATGGATCCGGGTGTAATTGACAAAGGCTATAAGGAGGGAGATGATTCGGAGTATGTAGGTATAACGAGAAAGGATGTTGCCAGGGAATGAATTGAAAGGCAAAGATGTGACTGTCTAGTTTGTACTTGCTGCCCGACCTGGACTTGACCTTGTATATTACATCCCTTAGTTCACTAGGCAATCGTAATTTTGTGAGGGCCTCAGCCTTGAGCGCAGCAGCCTTTGAAGCCTCCCAACATTCCACCAATGGGGACAGAGATCGAGGTGGAACGTTCTGGTTCCCATTCTCTCTCAGTACTTCGGCCTTGTTGAGATGATGATTCTCAGGTAACAAGAGCCATAATCAATCCAGAGATCGAACACCAGATCTTATGTGGTGCAGAGCTACATAGGAGAATGTCGGGTCGAGTGGTCCCAGCTGCCCGTTTGACCACATGGGATCAGATGGGGCTCTCATGAAGGGTGCAGATGATACTTCAGCTGCCTCGAGGCCTGGGCAGTCTCGTCTGTGTTCGTCTGTGATCACAATGAAGTTACATGGGGCGGGCCTGCAGCTCATACTTGCCAGTCCAAGAGACATTGTCAGTTAGATTCATTGATGGGATTGCAAAAACGATGGAGATGGAGGATGATTGAAGTGTAACCTGATCACATGCCGCTAATCGGCTTCATGCAAGTACCTGATCAGGAAGTGGGCACTTATTCACATCTGCTCAGGCTGTCAGGGTGTCAGGGCCCAGCCTCGGACTCTGAGGCTCCCTGACCTCAGCCCCCATCTAACCTGTCCTCACACTATGCGGGGCATGAGATGTATAGTAAAAGGAAAGATAATATATACACTTGCCTATGCGGGGCATGAGATGAGAAGAAGGGTAAAGGTCTCATCTCCCCGCATGGTTGCTATATAAAGGAATGGGTCACATGCCCACAACTATACAGCTCCTAGAGTTCTGTAGTGTGACCCGGAGGGAACATCCAGGTGGCAGTGCCCAGTAAGCGTGGGAATGTTCTGGGCGAGTTGCTCGCCCAGAACTGTGGCTGTGACCCGTGGGAACATTCTGGGCGAGCTGCTCGCTCAGAAAGTTCCCACGCTATCCCGTGCGTGCGCGCATGTACACAACACACAAAGGCAACAACGAGGCAACAGTCAAAGAATAAAAGGGGGTAAAGTAGGTGGGGAGTCCGGGGCACCCTAAGGCAGGGTGCTGAACCCTGACACAGGGCATACACCCTGACCTAGCCCATACCCGCATCCACACCCACACTTGCACCCACACCTGTGCCCACACCCAGCTGTTGCACTTCCTGCACGTGCCCTGTGCCAGATGCTCTGTGTGGCCGGATGCCCTGGGCCCTGGGTCTTGGGTCTCATGTGACTTCTGGATATCCATGGAAGTTTTCGATCTATTGTGACCACTGTGGGAAGATGAGAAGTTAACTTCCTTCTCATCTCTGACCCAACACATATCTGCGAAAATCCAAGGGCAAACGGGATGTTAGAAGTTGGTCATAGATATTGGATTGATGCCATGTGGAAGAAATGTGTCGGAAACACCAACAAGTGGCCAGAATGGTTCCATTATGCGTTATGGGCTGATAGAATCACCACTCGAAAAGCTACGGGATTTTCAGCATACTATCTTCTCTATGGACAAGAGGCAATGTTCCCATTCGATATCACAGAGCGAACCTGGCATACATTAGAGTGGCACAAGATCAAAGATACCGTCGATTTATTGGGTCTAAGAATGGAGCAATTAAAAGATAGAGATATGAATGTTGACCAAGCATCAAGAGATCTAGCCTTACAAAGGAAACAAAATGCTGATGCATATTGGGAAAAGCATGGGAGAGAACGATATAGGAAACCACTTGCATGAGGAATGATGGTTTTAGTGTATAAAAGTTCATTGGACAATCAACAAGGAAAAAAGGGAGCCCTAAGGTGGTCCGGACCATATTATGTGGTAACCGTAAGGCCATCTGGAGCTTATATCCTTGCTGAATTGGATGGTACAGTACTATCCAAGCCTGTAGCAGCGCAACGTGTCAAGATATTTTACTATCGAGATGCAGCTGAACCGGTTGTTCTAGAAAAGATTCAGGAGAAAATGGGACGATGGCACGCAATAGAGGCATGGCATAGGGAACAGAGAGAGAACATAGCAGAAAGAAGAGGGAAAGAGAATAGGGAAGAATCGGAAGAATCGGAGGACTCAGAGGAGTTACAGGAGGACGAGTCTGAAGGAAGTGGGTCCAAAACTAAGTCTGATGAGGAATTTGAGCAACGAGATGCCGAAAACTTTTTGGCATATATGGAGGAAGACTATAGTGAAGGTTCGGAAGGGTCAGATGAGTATGCAGATGACGAAATGGATATGGACGATGAAGGAATAGAGAGTGATGAGGGAAATATGGAACATGCGGAGTTTGTGAACTTTAGGAGTTGCTTTCAGTAGCATGGCAACTTCCCAATCACACAAGGATAGAGAGGAGCGACTCAAGAGAGAGGAGGAATTTTGGAATGAAGTATGGGAGAGGTGGAATCAATGCAAAAGAATGATTGAGAGAGGAGAGACAATACCGCAAAATTATGAACCACTCTATGAACGAATCAAGGAAGCATCAAAATACGAAGAGAGATGGGACTATAGAAACCACAAGAGAGTAGAAGGTCCAAGAAAATACCTCAGGTACAAGGAGACAAATGCTCCTCGAGGCCAGCTGTACTTTCCAGCACCTGTTAGTCTCAGGTGGTTTCATGTACGAGAAAGACGGGAGGATCCCAATACAGAAGATTCTGCATCCGAAATGTCTGGATAAGGAATTAAATAGTTTGTAACATCAGGTGACTTTTACGAAATTTGTTTCACTCGTTGCATAGTTCACCAGAGCCGCGCACTGGTGGCTGAGAACAAAGACAAGCGAACCCCAAAACATAACAACATCATGGGAGCAGACATTTTAAGTAATGTCTCATATCAAATAACTTCTAAAAAGGCTAATTGTCTCTACAGATTTTCCTTCTGACTCTCTTTACATTCTATTTCATCGGTATCCTTGCAATCTTGATTGGCGCACGACGAGATTGGGGAAAATGGGTGTGGAACCATACCATTGGTTACCCAATCAACATCATAATCGGGTTATGGCAAGAAGGACAAAGAACACGAACGGAGGAGAGACGTCGACGTAATCAAGTCTCACCATTGATCGAGTCCTTTGAAGCAGTTGTCCCTCGATCCCCACCAACTGTGTACCAGGATAGGCAATGGCACCCAACATTGTATATTCATGGTCTCACTACAAGCGAGATTAGCCATGAGTACAAATCACCGACGGATGAAATCGAAGAGAGCAAAGGACATCAAGTAAGACAAAAGGGTCTATATCACAATTTCTTAATCATAACCATTAACAAACACAGGTCTCCGGACATTGTCTGTCAGACATGGTCTGAAAAGCATCTGTGAACCCGCATTTTTCTTTCGTTTTTATGTACTAACGGCTAAAGCCGAGAAAAACATTCCTTTATTTCTTTTCATTTACTTCCATCACAGTGTCGACAGATCTGTTTTTCTGCTGTACATCTATCATCTATCCGAATCATGACCACTACATCTGTCACCGTTAAACTTGCCACAGTCCTAGGGATTGTCCTAGCTGTTGTCGTCAGCAGTGCGGTTTTTGCCTACATTTGGATTCATAACCGGCTATCACAGCAATGGACCAGATGGCCCCAGCAACTTTTGGACAGTGGAGATGATTCCGATGACAACATGTACATTCCTTGGGGACACAGCGAGCGACGACTGTCATGTCGATCGAAACTGTATGGATCCATTCCAATCAGGCTTGATATCTTGCAAGACCAAGTTCGTGAACCTCCTCGAACAGTGAAGAGACCTCCTAGCGATGAGTCTTTGGGAGAGAGGTACATGTTTGAGTAAAAATGGAGTATGTCGAACTCTACTTTTTCATTTTTATTTTATTTTTACACTCAATAATCCAACAGGGGTTGCACTAATGATGATCTGGACTCTGATCGTCTACGAGATCAAATCAACCTTCTTCCCTTCACTGTCTTGCATGAAAAGACATGGCTTGGGGAAGTAGCGAGCAAGTAAGGGTGGGTTTGGCTCCGTAATGGGCGTTATCCATCTGGATCAGCATGACAACACCCTTCCATCATTCTTTTCTTCATTTTCTCTTCCGAAATTTCTTTACAAAAGGTCGATCATGACCTAATGTATAAACACAATTCCGCTCTTTGTTTGATTTTTTTTTCTTCTTTTTTTGATCATCTGTTTGATCTACTCTCGCTCTCTTTCTTTAAATTTATATACTCCTCAATTCAAAAACTTCTTTGTTTACATCGAGGTTACAGTACCGATATACTGGGTTATACATTACCTAAAGAAAAGTAAAAGAAAAGGGGGCAAAGCGAAAAACATACCTTAGTGGTGCAATTCGCTCATTCAAGGCACATGTGTCTAAGGTGCTACGTCCATCCTAAAGCCGGTTATACCTGGAAAAGGCTCAAGATTGACCCAAAAAACCCACAATGCATGAATGGCAAAGGCCAATGCACATCATGGACTTGTCGGGCAGATCATTTCATGAATTCCGGTCTCCAAACAACGAGAATGCCATGAGGCATTCATGATCTATACCTAATTATGACTGATCAAAATCAAGACATTAATCCAACTTGGAAATCTGTTGATGAATTGTCAAGGCAGTACAAGTGCCCATTGAACTCATCAAGCAGATCGCCAAGGTGGTTAAGTACCATCAGTCGATCGCGGTGGGAAAAATTACATCGCAATCTTGTTGCAATGGAAAAGAAAAACAGTGATCCGGCGGGGCCAGAAACACCGTGATGAGTGGAGGACGACACATGTACAAAGTAACAAGGGGAATAGTCGTAAGATCCGAGTGGCAGAGGGAACAAAATAAAGGAGCAAAGGACCTTGAGTAAATAAGAGTCGCATTGGAGGAAATAGGATCGGAAGGAAGTAGAAGTTGCCAGGCAGTTGAGTTGAGGAGTGAGATCTGGAAGTCAAAGCCGAAGGCGGAGAAATAAAGGAGTGGATGCATAGGGAGAGTAAACGCTCAATCGGGGAAAAACCCAGAATCCGAGGAAAAGGGGAACTTCAGGCAGTGCACAGGATCCGAACGATAAATCCGTGCAGACATGAGAATACTGAGAAGAGAATCGAGAGTTGTGAATCAGGTGGAAAATTGGCAGAGTAAAAGGCAAGGGTTGATGAGTTGACATGTTGGTAATCAAGTTAAGCGGTGCGAGAAGCGCAAGGCGAGATTTGATGAGTTGATGCGACAGTAGTCAGAGCCAGACTGCGAAAAGGATGGAGCATGAGAGATTTGATGAGTTGACGCGATGATAATCAAGCCAAGGATCTGTGAGAAGCACGAAAATGATGGAGAAAGAAATAGTAGAACAATGGAACATGAGGCTGATTAGTGTAGCGAGAATGAGAAAAGGGGGGAAAGAACTAAAGATGCAATCAAAACCCGTGAAAAACGGACAACCAAACTAGACAAGTGAATGAAGGAGACAGGAGAATTGATGACGGAACATGAGGAAAGGGAGTGATAGACGGAAAAATGAGGCTGAGCCAATGGATTGAGAACGACTAGGCCGATTGAACATGTAACCACCCGAGCGTAACGATAGGTTCCCAAGGAGGATGAAGACAAGAGGAATAGAGACATCGAACTATAAAACTGCAGCACCAGCAGGGGTCGATGGCTCAACAAGCCTTCAGCGTCTAACACCTGAACATCTGAAAGAAACTTATCAATATGCAATTCCCAAACACTCAAGTCGTTTTCAAGACTGTTCCGGTCATAACTGCCAGCCAGACTCCAGCTATCCCTAAGACCCTTTTCCTCGGTGTGTAGTCATCCGCTAAACATGATGCGAGAAGGAACTGATGAAAGAGAATGAAGGAACGGGAAATCCCGAGGAAAGCGAAGTCGACAAAGAAAGTACTACTTTTGGATCCGACTCACCTATGAATTCAGTTCAATGGGAAACGGATTCTGAATTAGATTTCCTTTTGGAGAAAGCCCAGCAAGGATTCCAGAAACGTGACGGAATTAGATCGGATATTTTAATGCGTGGGAAGGAAGTATTTGACCTGGCCTATGGATGTCCAAGTGATTCCAGCTCGGACCTACCCACGACTTCTTCTTCAAGTGATCAGCCCATGGGTAGTGCTGCTGCTAAATGGAATTACCGAAACCGGTCCATTCCGCTCCCATTCCAGACAAACCCAAATTCCCGCTTCCCAATTTAAAACCGGCATCACCCATACTCAATCATGACAATGCTGAACCCGTTTTTGAATTCACCCCACGTACTCAAGTAGGAGTATCCCCCGCATTTTCTGCTTTACTTAAAGAAGAGATGCGGAGTGATTATAATCAGGGATATCCGAAAGGGGTAAAATTTATTAACGTGGTCTTAAACAACCATCTAACTCAGTTAGAATCCGACCTGGATAGAACTTGGAAGACGACCCGGGACTGTCTCAATCTAGTCCAAGACGAAATGGATCTCCGAGCGAATCCGCGTCGATTAGGAAGTCTATTCAAACCATATAAAGTCATGCCGATGATCAAAGATCTTGAAGAGGTAATGGAATTGATCTTTGGAAGGATTCTCTTGGAAGCCACGATTTGCTCCGAGTATCATGTGGTAAAGTCAATGGAGTTCCATTTATGGAATTCTTGGCGAATACTCCGGGAACATTTGTACCATGCAACGATGCATCTGACTATTCCACGGAAAAATAACCCACTGGCATTCTATTGTGAATTTCAAGATCGAATCTATGGAAGAGTCCAGCAACTCAACTTGGATACATTGGAGGAACTGCAAGTGGTGATGGAAACTTATCGGTTGGATAATAGGGTATTGTATGCGGAAGAAATATGGCCTGTAGAGCGAAAAGAGGAATGGTGGAGGGAGGAGTATAATACCAAGGAATAGTGTCAGACCTGAAGCTACTCCTGATATTCCCAATCACAAGTATCAAAGGTCGAAAACCTGTATAGCCGCAAATCTATGTTTCCTTATGCAATCTTTTTTTTTATGACTTTCTTTTATCTGATGAAAACATAGAAAATTCAAGGAACGAATGGTTAGTGTACCAGACAAGTTCAACATTAAACCTCGAAAACAGAAATCAAAACATTGCAGAATGAATGACCATAAATGCACACGTGTTCCTCTGCAATCCAATATGCTATTCCTTATTTTTATCTTTATGCAACTATGGACTGATTGACAATCAGGGACTATAAAGCGGCAACACATGGTTAAGCGACATTGTCAGAGACCAGACTCGAGACGAAAGAATGTCTCCATAACGGAGGGCTTCGGCCTCAGCAACTTCTGCCAAGAGCGCTGTGCCTAGTGACACGTCCGTGCCCTAACTTACTGACTGGCAATTAGAACCTAGGGGGGTAACTCTAGTTGATTTTTCTACTGGGGCGTAACCTATGTACAAGTGGGATATATATATGGTTACAGCGGAGATGGTTCTGCAATTGGTGGAGCCGAACGGAGCGGAGCTAATGGGGTTTAAACCATTAGCCGACTGAATATTACCAACGAGTCGGTTCACGGGGTTAGCGGAAAGGCAGGCGATAACCCAGAAACGGAAAGGAGGGATAGGCCCGAAGGTGGGCTCTGCAGGGCAGGCGAGTGTATTGCCCAACGGAGGCGGGGGTGCGCTAGCGGACGTCGGAGCTGTCCGGAAGTCTTCGGGGCTCCGTACTTAGGGAGGCGTAGGTAATAAATTGAAATGAGGGGGTGGTGACCATCAAGGGGTGCCAAGAGGATTGTGGAATACGGGGGCTCCGAGGTTAGTGAGGGAGGAGCGGAGTTGGAACGGAGGGATCGGAGGGACCGGAAGTCGATGGCCGGGGATGGATATGACAGTATCCCCTTCTTAGGCCTGAACCCTTGAAGGCCCAGAATTAGTAAGACGAGGGGAGCTGCACTTACAGGAAGAAAAGCAAATGAGAAAATAAAAATGAAAATGGAAGTGAGGAGCGGAGGGGAAAGGAGAAATGGGAGAGGAGTCGGGGTTCCTAAGGAGCTTCAGGTCCAGGCTTCACTGGGTACCGAGAGTGGAACGCTTCGACGAGGTCGGAGGCGTGATCGAGTTCACCGGCAAGGAGCCATTGTGTCTCCTCGTCGGTCCCTTCGTAGCCTAGCCACTTGACCAAGTAGAGCAACTTGTTGCGTCTACATCGGTCGATCTTGGAGTCGAGTATCTCCTCGATCTCGAACTCCATTTCGCCTTCGATCTCTACAGGAGGCGGAGGTGGCTGGTGGCGGTTCGGAATGGTGTTTGGGACGGATGGTTCGATCTGCGAGACATGGAATACCAGGTGAATGGCTCGCATGTTTTCCGGCAGGCGGAGAGTGAGGGAGTGGGTTCCAACGCGGGCGATGATCTCGAATGGGCCGAGGTTTTTCTCGGAGAGCTTTTTGGAAGGTCGAGTGGAACAGAAGTACTTGGCCTTTACGTAGACCAAGGTTCCTACTTCGAAAGCTGGGGCAGGGCTCCGGCGAGAGTCTGCCGGGCCCTGATAACGGATCTGAGCGAGATGCATTTCCTCGCGAAGGAAGTGGTGGAGGGAGTCGAGATCGACGGAGTACTCTTGGGCGCGTACCGATGTCAGGTCTCGCTCCGGGTGAACGGTGATGTTCGGATGGTAGCCTTTGTTGGCGAAGAATGGGGAGACGCCCATGGTGGCATTCGGAGCGTTGTTGTATGCGAACTCTGCGAGAGGCAAGAGTTCGGACCAATTGTCCTGCTGGTAGTTACTGTAAATACGCAGGTACTGCTCGAGCGTCTGGTTCATCCGTTCGGTCTGACCGTCTCCTTCCAGGTGATAACCGGAGGTGAAGTGGAGGCGGATGTCGAGGGCCTTACCAAGTGAACGGAAGAAATGAGAGACGAACTCCGGACCCCTGTCGGAGGTGACGTGGGATGGAACCCCGTGCTTGGAGAACACGTGGAGGAGGAAAAGCTTGGCCAGTTCCGGAGAGGTGATGGTATCGTGGGTAGGGATAAAAATGCACTGTTTGGACAGGCGGTCCACGATGACCAAGATGGAAGTGAATCCGGAAGAGGAGGGTAGCTGTTCGATGAAATCCATGGAGATGGAGTTCCAAGGACGTTCGGGGATGGGGAGTTGTTTGAGTAAGCCGTAAGGCTTATGATGGGGGACCTTGGCGTGGGCACAAGAAGTGCAGGAGGATACGTAACTCTTGACGAAGTTACGGATGCCCGGCCAGGTATACTCACGATGCACTAGATCCAGAGTCCGGTTTTGCCCGAAGTGTCCGGAAAGTTGGTGGTCATGTTTGTCTCGCAAAACGCGAAGACAGAGATCGTTAGAATCCGGCACGTAAATGCGATTGTCCAGCCTTAAGAGGCCTTCGGCATCAACGGACCAGCGGGAGTTGGGGAGGTTGGGGGAAGCGAGATGAGAAGAGATTGAGGTGTCGGAGGAGAGGGAGGTCAGGATGTCTTGATGAAGAGCCTCTGTGTCGACGAGTACGGCTGCTCGGATTACTGTGGCAGCTAGGAACGTAGCTCGTAAGGACGCAGTGAGCTGCTCCGAAGTGAAGACCGGTCGGAAGTTCTGCAGATTGACGCGAGCATAGTCCATATCCCCTTCTTTGGGATAGACGTCCCAGCGTCTTGTCAGCGCATCTGGTTTAACTCCGAGTCTTCCGGGACGGAATCGGACTGTCATGTGGAATTGGGAGAGGAACTCTGACCAGCGGGCTTGCCACCAGGTCAAGAGTTTGGTGGTGGAGAAATACTCGAGGTTCTTGTGGTCGGTGACGACGTCGATTGGGGTTCCTGAACCTTCGAGGTAATGACGCCATGATCGGAACGTGTCATGAATGGCGAGGAGTTCCTTGTCATGGGTGTCGTAATTGAGCTCCGGCGCCGAGAGTGTTCTTGAGCGGAAAGCGACGGGGCGAATTTCTCCGTCATCACAGTGAATGGAAAGGATTCCGGAGATTGCGTAATCGGAAGCGTCGGTTTCTACAATGAGGGGGGCGTCGGGTAGCCAATGTGTGAGGATAGGAGCGGAAGTGAAGGCCTCTTTCAAGGTGTTGAAAGCAGCACAACAATCGTCGGAGAATAGCCAGGGGGCTCCTTTACGCGTGAGGCGCATCAAGGGGACCACAATGTCGGAGTATTGGTGAATGAAACGCCGATAGAAGTTAGCGAAGCCAAGGAAGGATTGGACATCCTTGACTTTATGGGGCTCGGGCCAATCTTGGACGGCTTTGACTTTCTTGATGGACATGGTGAGTCCGGAAGGAGAGAGGCAGTAACCGAGATATTCCGTAGTGTCCGTATGGAACTCGCATTTCTTCGGATTGGCGTATAGGCCGTGTTTGCGGAGTCTCTTAAGAACTTCTCGGACATGCTCCTGATGTGAAGCCATGTCTTTCGAGTAGGTAAGTATGTCATCTAGGTAGACTACCACAGAAACGTCCAGGAGGTCGGCAAAGATCGTGTTGACGAATCGCTGGAAAGCCGCAGGTGCATTCGTGAGACCGAATGGCATGACAAGCCACTCATAGGAACCATAGCGCGTGCGGAAGGAAGTCTTCCATTCGTCGCCTGCTGCAATGCGAACCAGGTGGTAAGCATGCCAGAGGTCGAGTCTGGTATAGACCGTGGCATGGCTAGGTGCGTCGAGGAGGTCGGAGATGCAGGGAAGTGGGTAGCGATCCTTCTTGGTGATCTTGTTCAGCCCTCGGAAGTCGACGCATAGACGGAGGGATCCGTCCTTCTTGTGGACGAAGAGGACCGGTGCCGCGTGAGCGGAAGTAGCGGGACGAATGAAACCGGAGGCCAGGTGTTCATCTAAGAACGCCCAGAGGGCCTCGAGTTCCGAAGGAGAGAGAGAGTACATAGTACCCAAGGGTGGGGAGGTGCCTTCCTCAAGGTCGATCTTTAGGTCGTGCTCACGGTGCGGTGCCAGCGTCGAGGCTTTGCTCTTACTGAACACATCTGCGAACTCGTGATACTCCTTCGGAACGGCCGAGAGGTCAACGGAATCGGTGTGGGATGAGGCAGCCCTCAAGTGGCTTTCCTCGGAAGGGATGGTTAGGCTGAAGGATACCGATCCTTCAAGTCGGCAAGCCTTCGCGAATGCGGAACGGCTGACGAACTCGATAGATGGTAATGGGGGAGTAACAGCCTGTGACTGAGGTGCTGGCAAAACATCAGATGGTTGGATGTCGGACGACGGCAGTGTTGCCGGAGACGATGGGGGAGAGCTCGGAGTGACTGTCTTGGTAGGTTCGGAAGTTCGGAACGTGATACTGCTTGAGACCCAGTCAATCAACGGATTGTAGCGGGTAAGCCAGTTGTGTCCTAGGACTAGGGAACATGATCCATCCAGCGATGTGACAAAGAAAGTCATGGGGGTGATGTTTCCGGAAGCGAAGTGGAGGGGAATATCGACGGCACGGGTTATGATTGAGTTGGTGCTACCGTCGAATAGGCGTAGTTGTAGGGGCTTGATCTGGTATGTCTTCAAGGCCAGCTTTTTTACGAAGGTGTCGTCGATGAAGCAGTCCGAAGAACCAGAATCTACGAGTGCGGGTACGTTCTCATAGGAGCGGAAAAGTTTATTTTGTGTCCTACTATTGGACGGAGGAGAAACAGGAAGAGAAGAAGAAGAGAAGCGGAGAGAGGTGGATCGATCTACAGAAGTAGTCGGAGGGAGTGGAGGAGAGAGTGGTACATCAGCAACACTATCTACAACGGGTAGAACATTGCCCGAAGGGTCAACATTGAAAGGAGAAAATAGACCATTTGAAAGAGAAAAGGAAACGGGAATGTGGAGGGAGGATAAGTCGGAAATGGAAGACGCGTTTAAACGCACTTCTTTGAGCGCACGGAAGGAAGGATCGCAACCCCCAGTCCGTGCGGAGTCCAC